GTCGATATCAAGGTTGGTAAATACGTCGAATGTTGGCTGTTGAAGACTTCAATGGCTAGGGAACTATTCAGGCATGGTGCCGGAGCGGCAGCTTATTATATTGTTGAGAGTCGAAGCTGGTCCCGTTGACCATAGTCAAGACGTCGACAGCTTGACGACGCTCGGCGGTCAATATCGGTGCGGTCCACGAACGGTCAAGTCACAGCTGCTGGCGCCAATAGCACATGCCGCCACCCTCGGACCGGGCGCGATGTCGGTTATATCAATGCCAGAACGCAATGGAATCTCTTGGAGGTTCAAGATGTGTGCGTCACTGCGGGAGCAGAAGAGCTGTTGTATGTGAGAGGAGCGGATTGCCGTTGGGGAAAGATGGGCGGCAGGCCGGCTTGACTGCGTACTTTAAGATGGCCGGGCGTCTCCCAACTAGTAATCTGCTGGCGTTGTAAACAGGCTCTAGCGCCGGAAGGAAGCCATGCCTGCCACATGCAGAGATATCAACATTGAAAGAATGGTCGGGCTGTGTGTGGGTGCGGTGGATCAAGCCTCCGTCTGCTTCAATGTTGCTGTGTGGTTCTTGGCCAGGCAGCTTCGATTCTTGTGTTGGGCGGCGTTCCTCCACATGCAGACATCCAAGGATGTCCAAGGATGGGCGCCAACACATGTAACTGACTGGTGGCTCGGGTCCAGGTTGCCAGGGTTTGGCAGGTTGATATCGTGGTGCACCTCAAGGATTATCGTGATTGATTGATGATGGACCGACGCCGAACGAGTGCTAGCCTCGATGTCCCGAATGCAACATGCAACGGCGACGTGCGGAGCAGGCTGGTTCCGAAGGTAACTTGACGTTGCGTTCAACTTGTTCTTGTTTCACCAGAGCATTCAAGGTTCTTTGTCTATGTCAATACTTCACCCGTGGCTTACTGCACCCTGTTTTGGTGTTTTGCACCAAGTCTGTACCAGCATTGGAATACGGAGTGTGCACTATCGTAAAGCGACTTGGCGTCTGGTCTGTCATGATGACCAGCGCATCAATCTGTTACAGCGGCGTCCGCAATAACGCCACTCAGCCGCAGTCCCTTCCAGGTTCAATCGCACAGACCAGTTAACAACTTCTGTCCCCTCCCCTGGCCTGGCTAGGCGCTGAGGTCTTGGCAACGCGGAGAGAGTAAGCCGTCAGCGGCTAGACCTGGGCGGCGCATGAATATGGGCTGCCGTAAACCCCAGCGATGGCTTCCTCGATTGGACCAGCTTCAACTTGTCGTGTCCAACGCAACTCAGAGCCTCTGGCATCATTACGCCATATTCCGTACATAACATGCATTTTATGTATGTATGTATGTACGGCTTTGGCAGCAAGGGCTGCGCGCCCACCGCCTCATCATCTCCAGTCTTGGTTGCAACAACCGATTACTTGTTAGTTACCAGCCCCCTGCTCGCCAACCATCTGCGTCGACTTAAACATCTTGGCGCCCCCTTTCCGCAAATTGTTCTCCAAACCACATCAATGCTCCCTTCTAGTTCCAAGTAGTACGGAGCAAGTACTAGTAATAGAATAGTACCAACAAAATTTGTTGTGAAGTGTTATCGGGACTTGCAAGCCATATCAATACAATTCACCGCTCTCAGGACCTCTGGTGGCTGGATGAACCCCACGACCGACGCCACGCCTGAACAGCCTTGGGAGAATGAATCGCGTGCCGTGTGACAGGAACAAGTGCCAGCGCCATGATTAGCCATTGTGTAGTAGGTAGTCGGCATTTACACTGGAGGCCCCAGGGAAAATAGGGGAGTGTCACCGCCTCATTTCAACGCGCCGAAGAAAAAGCATTGTGGCTGCCGCCCAGATATTGATGTACAGCAGCAAACACGCCCGTCACCCTACTTGGCTTCGTGATATCAGTGAACCCATCGTACATTTCTTTACTTTCATTACAACAATAGATTTATAGTTTAACAACGAAAAAACATGTATATATATGACAGAGATGACAGCTCACTAGTTAGTTAAAGCTGAACACTACCGCCGCCGATAGATGCAAACATACGTCAGTTCAACTCCACTACCCAGGGATTTATGAAGATACAGTCCCCGTCTTTCCAATAATATTGCCATTGGCATCCCGAGGTTTGCGCTTCCATCCAGTTGAGAAGAGCCTGCCCAAGTCGAATCGAGGGAACGGATGTGCCTCGGTATTGATGACGACCTTGTCCAGGGGTAACAAGTCGTTCGGCGAGAATAGGAGGTACAGGTATTTCAAGGTTTCAGCCTGCAGATAGATGTCAGCAATCTGTTCCAAGTCATATGCAGCCGCGTACATCCACGGCACGTTTAGACTTACCAGCCAGAAACTTTCCATATTATCCTTTGTCACGGGTGGAATCGTATTGGCATTGCTCAAACTGGTAAAGCCGCCCTCGTTCTCAACAGCTGTGTAGTTGACAAACGACTCAAACATCTCCCACCCCCATTCACGGTATCTAACATCGCCCGTGATTCTCCACATGTAAAACAGGCTCTCCACAGTCTCTGGTCGTTGCAAATTGTGTACGTCGTTCGGCTGGACTTGGAAATCTTGTCGCCAGGTGGCTTGAGGGTCAGGGTCGAACTCGGCTGGCGGGTGATGTGGTGCCGATTCTGGCAGGGGCGGATCCGCGATTTTGAAGTATGTGATCTCGGCCGCCAGTCCGGTGGCCATGACCTTATACATGCCCCAGCACGTCTGCATCAACTCCCGAGCGAGTTTCATTTCGTCTTCCTTCTTCTTATTCCAGGAAGGAAGCTTGCGCGCCTCCGCTTCCGTAAGTCCCCCGGTAGCACCTAGGGCTATAGTTCCAGGCATAAAGCATACAAGGTGGTCCATCTTGGGTGACAGGTAGCCGTCTAATCCACTTGGTCGTTCCCCAATGATGGTATAGCCAGTCGGTTCCGTGTACGTGATGAGGTGCTTGCGAACACCTTCGAGAGCTTCGTCCCACATTTGTTCATATACAGGTTCCTGCTTGTTCGTCTGAAGGTACTGCTTGATCAGGTACTCATAGTACGAATCACCCCGGCTTCCCAGGCGAATATTCGAGCCTCGGAATTCTCCAGTCGTGGCGTAGATGTAGATAGGGACCAGGCCAGCCTTGGGGTTGTTATCGTCAACAACTTCCATAACCTTCTCAGCCTTTTCCCAGAAGTTAGTTTCGCCAGTCAGCTTTGCAAGGTATTTAAATTCGAGTTGAACAGTGGTTGCTTCAGCAGTGGAAGAGGCGCCGCCATCTGCATGCGAGGGAAGGCCTTGCATCTTGCCAAGGTTTACACTAGCATAAGGAACACCAGATTCGGATTCGAATGCAGCCATCAGCCGGTCAGCCAAATCTTTGGCTTTTTCCAAGTAGAGATCCTCGCCCGGCTTCCCGTGGTCGTCGTCCTTCACAGGTGCCAGATTAGGGTATTCGTTGGAAATATAGTGAGCGGATAAGAGACCGCCGAGCATGCGAATCGTGGTTTCAAACGTATTAACATCCTGGTCTTGGTCCCAAGTCAATGAATTCGCCAGCCATTCGCGAGCATGCTCTACTCGGGATGTCAAGTTCATCAACATCATCGTGTCCAGTGAATCAATTATAATCCAACCCAATCCTTTGGAGGCCATATTCTTCCCCGTTTTCGAAACTGGGTGATACTCGTCGTAGCCTGAAGCAAAAAAAAAATCCCAGTTAGCAAACACAGCAGCGCATAAACGAAAAACTAAAGGGAACCAGTAGAATTGTACCCCAAGCATAGCGCGAATACGTATCCCAGCTTAACTCGAACGCTTCGACAACACTCTGCCGTCTTGCATCCCAATTAGCAGCCTTGTTGATCTTGGACATGCCCAGCCATGCCCATGTAGATGTCGACGTCGAGGACCGCTTCTCGTCATTGCCGCCAAAGAACCCAGTCAACCAGAGAAACGTCAACGAAGCAAGCGCAATTGTGCTTAGTACTCGTTTTCTTCGCCACCATCGCTTCCTCCCGTACCCGTACGGCTTATCTTTATACATTGGCAACGAATCGTCCTCGAAGTAATGTGACACCTTCCTCTGGACGCCGTTTATAAAACCATGCGACGCATCCCCTTTGCCTCGAGATAGCGCTACCCAGGCTCTGTCCTCTAGGTCTCGATGCGGCGCTCCAAAGTTGGGAACATTCTTCGGGATATGGAAGGACATGTCGAGGGCCGCAGCGCCGACATGCGCTGCTGTTGTTGTGATGTGTTGGACTGTCTGGAAGGCTGTGGCTTTAAAGGCGTTCTTGCGGTGGATGTCAAATGGATCGCGGATCATTGGGCCGGCTGGCTCATCTCGTGCAGCGCGGAGGAAACCACGCAATCGCCGTGAGAATCTGGACCGCAAGCAAGCTCTAGAGCCAAAGCTAGTGCTATTTGTGCCGTCGACAACAGCCCGGTTCGACGATGCGGGAGTATATTGTCCTTCGCAATGGCGACACGTTGCAAATTAATCGTGGTGAACGACTAAATGCAAGTTGATGGGCGACGAGTCGACGACGGGGCGACCCAACCAGCAGGGGGGACCCCTAGAAAAGGACAGAGAGTGTCGAGTAGGTGACCTGACCAGACCTGACCAGTCCCGACCATTTCTCGTTAGTTGGTGGTTGCATGTGGGCCACTTTTCTCCCGAGGTCGCCCCTCTGCAAACCCCGATGTTGGTGTCCTGGTGGCATAAGATTTCAGTACTTGTGAACAAATCAACCTATCTCCCCGACTTATTTGCGCTTCACTCTCATGGCATTTAAAATGCGGCCATGTCTTTAATTTAGCTATTTACAAGCCATAGGAAAGGGATCATGAAGACACAAGGAAACCTAGCTGACAGGTATTTGCTAGACGTGTGCTACGGAGTATTCCTTCTCAAGGCACAGGACTGTTCTTGCCCTAATACTCAACTATCCAAAGTTAGCCCTCGTTCGTGATAACGGAGGCAATCGAGCCGCCCTTCTTCTCACAGACAAAGACATGGATATTGAAAACTATCCATTCATCAATCCGGAGGAATTTGCAGAAGCTTGTCATCATCTTGACAGTCAATACTGCCGTGCAACCTTGGGTCCGCTGAGAAAGCGATGGAAGCTCAAAGTGTGCACAGCTCTCGACCTGGCTTTTTCCACCGAATTGGGATATACTACATATATTCAGATTGTTCGTCCACTAGAAATACCGGGCGACCTGGATTTGAATCTGGACAGCTTTACAATATCCCCTTCTCCCACAACCCATGACATTCCGACAGCAGACGATAAAATGATTGACGATGAATCGGACGAGGTATGTGGTTGTTACTATTGGTATGTAGCTGTAATATCATATGCTCACGATTATGCTAGGCCGCCATCGTCAAACCGACATCTCAAGCCACAGAGACCGTGACTTATGAAATTCATCGTCATCCCACATATAGGGTTCCATGCCTTTGGTTTAGTCTCCACGGCCTTCCCCCACATGAACCTGCCTTCAATATTGACACCGTATTTCGCCGTCTCGTCCCCGATGAGTACAAAGAGGGCCTCCGAGGGCTTGGTGGAATTGGTGGCATCTCCGCAGATGTGAGTTTTTCGAATACTTCAAGTCTTTGATTGGACTCATTAGACTCATACATGTTGTTCGCTATAGCACCACCCTGTTACAGGAGTCCCCGCCTTCTTTGTTCATCCATGCTTGCTTGGAGATGCCATATCCAGCTTCAAGTGCTCCAGACAGAACTACTTGATGGTTTGGCTCGGCTTGGTTGGAGGATGTGTAGGCCTGTGGATACCCAAAGAAATGGCTATTCAATGAAACGTCGGTGTGTCTTGAGCGGGACACTGTGTTGTCGGCTTACAATATTGTTCGTCTCAGGCACCTGAAGCTCATTCGTCGTCACTGTCCTCCTCCATTGCCACGTCACTTTCGCTATCCTCGCCTTCATCCTCGTCTTCTCGTCCTCGCTTTTGGCCGCGACTTTCTGGCGTACCAGCGTCGTTCATGACCTGGTCAACAGCAGCAGGTGGTTTCGCAGGAGCAACGGATCCCGGTGGTGGCGCGTTGAAAATGCTTTGCTGAAGTTGTGTTTGTTCGACCACTGCGGCTCCCGATGCACTGGGCATCTTGAAAGTTCCATCCAATTTGGAAACAAAGTGCGACTTCGACTTGGCATATTGGATTTTCTAGGATTTGGACTCTCCTGTCAGTGTCCAGGTTCTCAAAGGAATTTAAATGGCACTCACAAGCTGCCGGCCCAAAAATTCTTGTCCCTCCAAGGACCTCATAGCTTGAGTAGCTGTTTGTACATCCCGGTAGACAATATGTGCTTGCCCTCGCATGGACATCGTTTTCAGAGCAACGACATCTAGAACTGGCCCGTACGTCGAAAAGAGAAGGTAAAGGGCAGTTCGAAGATCGGCTTTTTGGATTTTTGAAGACGGAAGATTCGTTACATATAGCCTAAAAGGGTCAGATGGAGGCTTGAGGGGTGCAGCGACCGTATTCACTCACGTCTGGTTGGGCGGGATGGGCTGAACTTTGGCAGGCAGGGAAGCGTTCGGCACCAAACCCCGAGTAGGGACGGCTGTAGCCATGGTGACTCAATTGCTGCGGTACTCTGATAAAAATATGCGTGCACAATGATTCTACATATATTCTCGTGGGAGGTGACTCAATAGGTGGGATCTGGTCGTTCGCGGCGGTCGCAGGTGCAAGAAATAATGCTGAAAAACGTAAGTTTTCGTGCCTCGCGATGTTGCGGTGGTCTGCGACCAGCTATGGGTGGTCCGAGCTCCACCTAGTGGGTACGTACCCTCACCATACGTAAGACGTACTCGCAGACTCAGAGGTTCACCCCGCCATCATCGTCGCCAAGTTCATCAACGTTTACTTTTACAACTAGATTTCCTTGACCTGCGGTAGTAGAGAGCTACTCCTATCGCCAAAGACAACTCATCAGTATGGCGGATCCCGAGGTTCACCACTTGTTCCATAACCCCATCGCGGACCACTCGTTCTCGGCTGACCATGGCACTCTGGCTGTGGCCCGAGACTCGTATGTCGAGCTGTACGGCAGAGTGGGCAACGCTTTTAAGCTCAAGGATGAGCTGAAGGGCCACGATAAGACTGTCACTAGTGTGGACATCGCTCCTCATAGCGGTCGCATTGTTACCTGCTCTCAGGGTAAGAGCTCTACCTGGCATCTCACATTTGTATTTCCAGCTAACAGAGGATAGACCGGAACGCCTTGGTTTGGGAGCCGTCTCCCACGGGGTACAAACCTACTCTCGTCCTTCTCCGAATCAGTCGAGCCGCCACCTTCGTTCGATGGTCCCCGTCTGAAACCAAGTTCGCCGTTGGGTCCGGTGACCGGGTCATCGCCATCTGCTACTTCGAAGAGGAGAATGACTGGTGGGTATCCAAGCACCTAAAGAAGCCCATCCGCAGCACTATAACGAGTGTTGCATGGCACCCAAACTCAGTACTCCTTGCCGCCGGTTCAACCGATGCCCATGCCAGAGTCTTCTCTAGCTTTATCAAAGGGGTCGACGCCAAGCCTGAACCCAGTGTCTGGGGCGAGAGACTTCCTTTCAACACCGTCTGCGGAGAGTTCTTGAACAACTCTGCTGGTTGGGTGCACTCTGTTGCATTCTCCCTAAGCGGCGACAGCCTTGCTTTTGCCGCTCACGACAGTAGTGTTACCGTTGTCTATCCCTCTGGCCCTGAACAGCCGCCCCGCGCCGTTCTCACCGTCTCGACACAGCTTTTGCCATTCAAGAGTTTGATCTGGAAGAGCGAAGATGAAATAATCGCAGCCGGTTACGACTGCGAGGCTTTCCGCTTCAAGGGTGGCGAATCAGGCTGGCAGCTTGCGGGTCCCGTTGAGCCCAAGGGCCGTGATGCCGGGGCTCAGCGTGAGGAGTCTGCGCTCAACATGTTCAGACAGATGGATCTCAAGGGCAAAGTCAAGGATGACACGCAACTGAAAACCATCCACCAGAATACGGTTACTACCCTCCGTCCGTTTGAGTCCTCTGGTGGCCGAGTCACCAAGTTTAGTTGTGCGTATATCCCATCGCATGTGACGTGCCTCGTTCCCTCATTCATCTTATCTAAATAGCTAACAATTATTACAGCGAGCGGTGTCGATGGACGTATCGTGATTTGGAATGCTTAAAAATAGATGCATATAGGAGCTAGACTATGTCTTGTAAATAAGAATTAACAGTCATTGGCCCATGTCTCGTTAGCTGTAGAGAACTATGCAACGCAAACAGACGATATCAAGACAATTAGACCCCGATGCTTGTCACGACTATCGATGATGAAACATTTATACTATGGACCAGGTTGATATACTTTTACAGTTTTGATTTGCTCTGGCCGGGCCTAGCTACATGCTATCTACCTCAACGCACGCTTAAGGGAGGGCGATAGCCTCAATCTCGACATCAACGTTCTTAGGGAGGGTCTTGACGGCGACGCAGCTGCGAGCAGGCTTGTGTGCGAACCATTTCTCGTAGACAGAGTTCATCTCCTATTGTGAAGGGTCAGCTCTAAATCACAGCCAAGTAGAACAGGTAGGTAGAAATGAGGTACGTACGGCGAAATGGGCCATATCAGAGATGAAGATGTTGCACTTGACAACCTTGGCGATGGAAGAACCAGCCTCCTTCAGGACGGCCTCGAGGTTCTGGCAGCACTGCTTGGTCTTGTCGGCGATGGAGCCCTCAACCAAGGTGCCCTCAGCAGTGAGGGGAATCTGGCCGGAGCAGTAGATGGCCGAGGGGGTCTTGATGGCCTGGGACTACGTGGGGAAAGTTTCGTTAGTATTCGCGCAAGCGCGGGGTGTATTTTTTATTTCCCCCGTCTCCCATTGACGGGCCAGGACTCACGTAAGGGCCGACAGCTAATTTCGTAAGAGCTTATCAGTACAATCGGAGCCGAATCGGAGGAGGGACAGAGCACACAGCTCTCTGGGATACTTACGGAAAGGGGCGTCCTTTGTGAAAACAATCTGTTGGTCCGCCATTGTTGATTTGGCACGAGGAAGAACTGAGATTGGTGTGAACTTTGATCCTGCTACTGCCGCTCGTCGAGCAGATGTGGTGATGCTCCCAATGGAGGATCGCGGGGCAAGCCGAGCAACGATCGACGACATACCTATGCAGAAGAACGAGAGCCGTTGCGCGTAAGTAAGGGTGGTTTCTCTTTTGACAGGGGCTGATGTATCCTACAGAAAGTGTGTTTTGAAAGTGAAAAGGGCGCGCGATGGGGGACGGGGGATGAGGGTTTACAAATAGGAAATAGGACAACTCGACTAACTTCTATCTCGAGCGGACGGAGGACATCTGGGAGCTCCTGGTGTCTCCGGCATCCGGCGTCCTTCACCCCGCGGCGGGGCAGCAAAGCTGGCGGGTTTTGGCGGCCTAGCTAATCAATTGGTGTGGCGGATGGTCCACATGTGCGCATCGCGGCCCAGCCTGGACGTGCACCTGGGTAATTCGTTACGTACAATGTACGTGGTGTTTACTCGGTATGGCTGGGCCAATGGTAGTTTGCAAACTCCCCAGGGTGGACGGGGAGATGGCCAGGAGGCCCAAGACGGCGGTCTTGTCGATTTGTTCGGAGCGCACCGGAGAGTCGGGGAGTTTGGTGCTGAGTGTGGTGTGGAATGTGGCATGGGGATGGGGGATGGCGAATGCTGTTCATGGCTATCAGGGTGTCTAGATGGGTGAAAACACTAGCAGAAATATTTCCCAGATGGCATCATTTTGAAAAGATCAATTATCATAAAGCTTCTGATCTGGGGCATCCAAGCATTCAAGATCAGAGTACAGAAACTGGCTCGGCTGCTTCAACCGTTGACACTTTAGCACGGAGGGTCCCTCCCTAGAGAAAGGGACTAGAGGGGCTTGTTTTTTCAGCGTTGAGGCGAATAGCTGTTTCTTAATATCTCCAAGTACAAATTCCGCAAATACTTAAATGTATTCAATGGTTGCATCTTTCCAATGTTAGACAAACTTACCTTAGACTCGACTTGGAATGCCGTAAACCGACTTGGCCAAAACGTGTCTCCCATCCCGAGAGAAACGGGAGCTGCAATATGCAGGGGCAAAGACAAATACCATCATTAGCGTTTAGTTCCCTCGTAAATCTCATCGATAGCCTAGACCCAGATATTTGGTCAGGGTGTTCCAAAGATAACTGATCCATCAAGCAAGGGCTGAACAGGAGACAGTTCCTGGATTGTGGGCCGAACTGGTGCCGTCTGAGCCAATCGTCTGCCTGCCCTGCCCTGGTCCGTAAACGTAGGCCGTCCAGCGCTGGGAGCTGCTGGACTTGGCCACATTGACACGTTGTGTCGAAGGTTTTGTCTCCTGGCTCCAGCTTCATCATTCGTTTCTTGGCAAGGAGGGAGGCCAACCCTTTGCATCTCCAACTCAAGCCTTCAACACACATACTTGCGTGTCTTGATTTGGCGGTTCTGTTCTTTCAGTTCGTTTCTCCTTGTCCTTTTCCTTTTTGTATCTAATACCTTTTCTTCTTCTGCATCTTGGGCATCAAGCCTCCCCGCCGTTTTGTGAGTCGCCAGTCCCTGAATCCCAACGCG